TTGGAGAAAAGAGAGAGGAGAGAGAGAGAGAGAGAGGAGAAGAGAAAGTGAGAGCGAAAGAGGCGAGAGAGAGAGAGAAAATGGAGAAGAGGAGAGAGAGAGCGAAAGAGCGAGAGAGAGAGAAAATAAGAGAGAGAGAGAGAGAGAAGAAGAGAGAGAGAGAGGAGAGAGAGAGAGAGATAGAGATAGGATAGAGAGGTGAGAGAGAGAGAGAGAGAGAGAGATGAGAGAGAGAGAGAGAGAGAGAGAGAGAGAAGAGCAAAAAAGAGCGAGGGAGGGAGAAAGAACGCGAGACGGATACCTTGTTGGGTTTTGTCTGGGGATTGGTATAATCCACTGAAAGCAGAAACAAACCCTTAATAACATTACCTTCTGTCAAAAAACACTACAACTTTAATTACAAAATTGAAGAAGAATTTGATGTTCCAGCCATAGCTCAAGGTGGCACACACACACACAAAACAAGAAAAAAACAAAGAAGAAAGAAAGAAAAGAAAGAAAATCTAGGTTTCACGCGAGGAAAGTCAGTGTTTTAGTATAATTGCCTTCGGATACAAAAAAATCAAACTCCATATGCCTGAAAGGACAACTTCATATACGGCACATGCAAAACAACACCAGCAGATACCACAGACTCGAAAAACAAAAGAAAAAAAAGAACAAAAAGACTTTAGGCATTGACATTTTGGTACAGAAATGAACTAGACGTATAGTGAAAGAAGTATAAACAAGTATATTCTTTTTATATACAAACACAAACAAACACGAATAAACATCTTTTAAATAGAGAAGTACAATTGAATAAAAAAGAAAAAAGTCCATTGCTGTCAATAGCTTCGTAAAATACGCATGTCATGTCCTTAGGAAGCGAAGGCGAAAGGAAAGTCTGCACAGAGTCCAAAAGTCTTTTAAAAAAACAAAATCCAAAAAGCGCAGAGATGGACACCTCAATGCTACCAGAGTCGCAAGAAGGACTGAGACCGCAACATCATCGTAAAACATTTTTTTTTTAATCTCGTAAGTTTCGAATCATTTTCATCTCTTATTCTGTCTCTGAATTTCCCTTTTAATCTCTTCATTACTCTCTTTTCCCATCTCCCACTCCATTCGTTATGTCGGCTTTCTCCGCAACCTTCCTTTCTCCGTCTCTGCGGCTCTCTTTTCCCACTCCTTCCCCACCCCTTTATATCTCTCTCTTCCTCTGCTACTCCTCTTGAGAATGAAGGAGAAAGAGAGTGTGTGTATATATATAATATATTATATAATATATATATATATATATATATATATAATAAATATAATATATATATATTATATAAATAAATAAATATGAATATATATATATTAATAAATAAAATATTTATATTATAATATATAAATATATACGTACACATACAAATATGTGTATATGTATAATACATTATATGACATATAATATATATATATATATATAATATAATATATATATATAATCTATAATATATATATATATATGTATTGTATCTAATCTATCTATGCTTATATATAAATATATTATATTATAAATATAATATTATATGTAACATATAAATATATATATATATAACACAAATAAAAATATATGTGTGATATATATAAAATTATATAAATTATATATAGAAATAAATAAATAAATAAATATATATATAGTTGAGTAAATATATATATATATATATATGAGTGTGTATATATATATAAATATATATATAAATATAAACATATATAATATCTAAATAGTGTGTGTGTAAATATATATATATATATATATATATCTATTAAATATATATATTATATATATAATATATATAATAAAATATATATAAATATATAAATATATAAATATATATATATATATATATTAATAATATACTTACACATTATAAAATTTACTATGTCATATACATATATAGCCATATATATATAAAAATAAATAAATATATATATATATCTATCAAATATTTAAATATCTCTATATAAGTAAGTATATATATATATATATATAACAATAAGACATAAATAAATAATATAATATCTCAAAATATATATAACAATAAAATATATATAACACAATAAACCACACACCCCACACAGACATATATAAATCATCTATATATGTCTATATCTCAAATCACAAAGTGTGTAGAGTTCGAGTGAGTTAGAGAATACGTAAATATTTATATAAAAAAAAATAATATATATATATATAAAAAACAAACTATAAAACTACAAAAATAACCATTTATATACATAAAAAAAAATACATAAATATTTCATTTCTAAAAACGTAAATATCATGTCAACAAAAAATAAAACTATAAACATATACATAAATATATATATCTATAATTATATCAAAATAAAAAAATAAAAATTAATAACACAATAATGTATGTAATCCAAAAAAACACACTAACAATAGACACTATATATCTATATCCAATATAACCACACCCTTATATAATGTAACTATTTTAATTAAGTATAATACAATAAATAATAAATAAAATACAATAAAAATATAAAACAAAAAAATCTTTATACATAATGTAATAAATCAAAAAAGTATATATAAAATTATAAAAAAATAAATATATATATCTATAACACAAATATAAAAATCGATTTTTGAGTGTTAGATAGAGTTATGAGAGATTTGAGTTGTGTGTTAGTTAATGTTTGTAATATAAACTTATTTCTACAAAACAATCAAAACAATCTATGTAAACACACACACACACAAAAACACATGATAAATAAAAAAATAATCTAATTGTGTGATAGATATTGTTATAGTTGTGTGAGTGGTGTAGATATGTGTTTAGTGATAGATTGATTCATTCAGTAGTATAGAGTGAGTGAGATTGTTAGAGTTTTAGACATGATATACAATCATTAACTAACTCAAACATCTCACACAAAAATCACACAAAAACAAACAAAAAAACACACCCCACACTCTCAAAACCCTCAAACAAACAAATCAATAACACACACACTCTAAACAAACTCACAAACCCACCACAAAAACCTACATTTACACACACTCAAACTCTACCACACTAAACAAAATGCACAGACTAAAAAACAAACAATTAATTACAATCTCACAAAGATCTCTCAATCAATCTCAAAAACAAACTCACAAACAAACAAAAAGATTGTGAGAGTGAGAGTGTGAGAGAGTTAAAAAAAAACAATAAGCTCAATATAACACATCATCTATATAACACTAAATCATAAATATATAAATATCTCAACAATAAATAATCACTTTACTCTCATTCAAAAAAACAAACACAGCAATCTATAAAAGCTCACACAACAACAAAACAATAATCAAAAAACAAACACTACTCCCCAAAAAAACTAACACTAACACCACAATCTATATCTAAATATACAAAATCACAATATAAACCAAAAACACACTACACACCCTATCACCCCCCCTCAACCAACCCCCACCAAAAATACCCCCCAGAACAATCAACGGACCACACCAACCTCCCAAACTACAATACCATGACCAATCCAAATACCAATGTGGATTACACAACCCCCAAAGTTAGCAACAATACCGTCCTGGGGGTGGTTGGGGGGAAAAAGAAATTCGGAAAACCGTCGCCGTGGATTTGTCGTGCTAACTATGCCATTTCCTTAGCGAATGTCCATGCTATAACAAAGTTTTGACTTTATAGTAAGTTTACCTAAAGTTATATAAGTTATTTATAAAGTTCAAAAACGAAATGGCTGTTTTTTTTCCTAGATTTGCAACTACAAGGCATAAAAATCTACCGAAAACTGAGGTCGGATTTTTTTTTTTTCTTTTCAGTCTTTCTTTATATTTTTCTCCTTGGTTTTCATTTCCTTTCCTTTTCTTTAGTTTTTTTTTTTTTTCATTTCGTTTTGTTTGATTTCTCTTCTTTTACCCATTTTCCTTACAATTTTTCCTTATTTCCCTTTTCCTTTTCTTTTTTTTCTCTTTTTTTGCTTTTTTTTTTTTTTGCTTTTTGGTTGTTTCTTTTTTTCTTTTTTCCCTTTTTTTTTTGTCTTTTTTTTTTTTCTTTCCAATAATATTTTTGTCATTCTTCGCTTTCACTTCCTTTTTCCTTTTTTTTTCTTTTATGTAATGAGAGGTAGAGGTAGAGAAAGGTGGGGAAGAGGAAGAGGGAAAGGAAGAGGGAGAGAGAGGAAAGAAAGAAAGAAAAAAAGGATACAAAAATAATAACAATAAAAAAATGAAATTTAATAAAACAACGAGAAAAAAAAAACAGAAAAAAGAAAAAGAGAAGGCAAAAAAAATAGAATGATAAGACACAGTAAGAGAGAAAGAGAGAAAAAGAGAGAGAGCGTGAGGAGGAGAGAGAGATTACTGTTATTATCATTATTATCAATGATATATTTTTATCACTGTTTATTTGTTATTAATTGATATTATTAGCAGTGATATTATTGTTATTTTATTTCATTTTATGATCATCTTCAGTATTATTGGTATTATTATTATTAACCAGTTTTAAAACATTAATTTCCTTTTTCCTTTTTTCAAAACTATCTATCGAATCTATCTAATCTAATTTTCAAAACTAATAACACTACTCCTAATTCTAACTACTTTTTTTTTTTTTTTTTTTTTTTTTTTTTTTTTTTTTTTTTGCCTGTCCTGTCTCATCATCATGCGTGGGGTCTTTCTTGAGATCCATTGGGCCTTAGTCCCTATATCATCGTGCTTAATTGTCATCATGCGAGGTCTTTTCTGGGAGATCCATTGAGCATTTGTCTCATATCATCGCTCTTATTTCGTCACATCCGTGATCATTTAGGCAATTGAAGTTAAAGAGCCCTTGCCCAAGGAAGCATGCAACAGCCGTGACTAGAGCGTTCGAACGCAGGTTGCAGCCACACCCACGCCGATGCCCCAGCCGTGACTCGAACGCCCCGAACCTGGGTTGCAGCCACGCCCAAGTCCGATGCTCTAACCACTAGGCTACCGCACCTTCAGCTAGAAAATTGAAAATCCGGGGCCTTATATATTGCAGATTTCTCTTATTTGTATTTTTTCCTCCTAATTATTATCGTTATTATTATTTTTTTTTGTTTGTTCTTTATATTTTGTATTTTGTATTGCATGTGCAATGAGTGCAATTATCCCAACAGATGCATTAAAACGTATATGTGTTTCACTTCCCTCTCTCTCTCTCATCTCCTCCCTCTTTCTCCCTCTCTCTCCCTCTCTCTTTTCAGTCTCTCTCTCTCTCCGTCTCCCTCCGTTTTTTTGTCGTTCTTCAAACTGAATCAAAATCATTAAAATGCACTGTTATTTGCAGTTTCT